TATATTATCATCAACAGCAATCTTGTCATTGCTGATTTTCTTGGCCTCCCCACTTCTTCATGCGCTCTGTTGTTTGCTCCACCTGCAAGTCAATCATCTCCAAATATGTTCATCGCTTTCTCTCTTGCCAAACAAGAATGTCACAATTAACTACGTTAAACCGGTAAAAGAGTAATCGCTCTATACGCAAATAAAAACAAGACCATCTTTTTGTTTCTATCCGGAGAAAAAATGGGTATAAACTGTCTTTTTGATTCGTTTATCTGATTCCGCTAAAAATAAGTTCGACTGTTAGAATTCTATTGAAGCTTCAGCCGAAATCAAGGTTGGATTTCTGAAAGGTAAAGTGAATTCTAACACTAACCTCCTTATTCCAATTGGTTTTGTAGACAACAAACAGGAGAAGCAGGGTTTGCAGTGCTGTCCCAGCTATCATTCCTCCCCAAAGTCCCTGCAATAACAAAAACGATTTTTCGGAAAAGACCCGATTCTAAGTTTGCATTCAAACCAAGAAGAACCAAAGAAGAAGAAGAGAAAGTCAGTACCTTGACACCCAAGTTTGCTTTGAAACCCAGAAGGTACCCAAGTGGGAGCCCAAAAATGTAATAACAAGCTAAATTGATATAAGCCACCAATGCCTGCCATCCTCCACCAACAGCTACACCTAAATAAATTGATTTCAACAAAAAAATCAGATTATAGAAATTTACTACTTACAACTTTTTGCTTCTAAATCGATAATCTTATACCTGATATTACTGGCTGTATGCTGTTGAGAACCATAGTGACCCCAAGAAAGTATGCTAGCTTAGAGACAGCCTTCTGTAGATCTTCACTGTTTGTGAAAATTACAGCAAAATGATCCCTGGCTATGATGATCCCAACCATGCAACAAAGGCCAATGAGGAGAGACTCCATTACTGTCACATATACACAGTATTTCGCTGCTCTAGGACGTCCCATTCCGAGCTCATTGGAGACTCGAACACTGCGTGAGATCAGAGATAATAACCATTGATTAGCCTGTGATTTGTTTTGTAGAAAAACAGAAATGTATTTGCAGAAATATTACCTCACTGCAGCATTTATTCCAATGAACAACATAGCTTCATACCCATTGAAATTCATGCTGAAATACACAAGCAAACATATAAGCAAAATATTATAGTTCTTGCTGCACTATAAATAATTGACTGGGTCTTTTCCTATCAATCTGAAACTTTTGGCATTATAGTTTCAGTATAGAATCAGAGCTAGAAGTCTTCTGGTCAAATATTAGGAATCTCGTTTGGTAGCCCTGTACATTTATTAACGTTTTCAGTCTAGTGGGTTTATGCGTGAGAGAGGATGCGTTATGATATAAACAATTAATTTAAACATTTCTCGTCAGTGTAAGTTTTTGAGATAATCAACTCAATCTATTATTTAAGAGTTTCAAACTTTTGGGAAATTTCAGTACGGTAGGGTTTATGCATGAGAGAACATATTATGATATAAGTAATTATTTGACATATTTTTTATTAATTTAAACTTTTAAGATAATCAGTTCAATTTATTATTTAAAAAGTTCTGGAAGTTCAAATTCGTAATATAGATCACGAAAAACTTACCAAATAGAGAGGGAATCAGCTGCGATGACAGCATTATCAAGGCTGGCAGTGAGGATAATAATACTCGTCATATAGCAAATCTCAAGGGCAAAACATGATGGCAGAAGCA